CCGCTTCGTGCTCGCTGTCCCCGGGCGGCCCTCGGCGCACTGCAGCAGCAGCACCACCTGGGCACCGCCAGGGGGGACAACCATCCCGAGGACGCGTCGAACGGGGGGGGCTCGTCCGCGAGTGGATTGCGAGGGGCGTGTCGGGCGGAGGCCTCGCAGGCCCCACGAGACCACGAGTGCCCACGGCTGCACACGTCCCAGGGGTCCCACAGGCCGAACACGTCCGACAGGCCCCACGCATCTCTCCTGCCCCAAAGGCCTCGCAAGTCGCGCACAGGCCCCACAGCTGCCACAGCTCGCACAAGCCTCACAGGCCGCACGCGTCGCACGAGCCGCACTGGTCCCACAGGCCCCTTATGTTCGCCTGGTCTCACAGGTCCCCACAGGTCCCCCCGGTCCCACAAGTTCCAGGGCCCCCTCAGGTCCCGCACGTCCCTCAGGGCCCACAGGTCCCACAAGCCCCACGGGTCCCACGGGCCTCACAGGTCCAACAAGCTTCAAAAATATGACAGGTCCCACGGGCCCGGGCCCCGCAGATCTCAGGCCATACAGGCCCACAAGTTCCAAGGGTCCCACAGGTCCCACAGGGACCGCAGGTCCCGCAGGTCCCACAGGCCCCACAGGCCCCACCACAAGTCCCACAGGCCGCACAAGCACCTCAGGTCCCACAGACCCCACATGTCCCACAAGTTCGACGGTTCCCAGCGACCCCACAGGGCCCGCAGGTCCCACAGGGCCTGGAAGTCCCACTGGTCTCACAGGTCCCACAGCCCCACAGGGCCAAATCTCGCACGTCGCATAGCCCCCACGGACCCCACAGGTCTCAAAGGTCCCACATGCCCCACAAGTCGCATCCAGGCATTCTGGCATCCTGGCATCATCATCGTCGCTAGTCGTTGGTGATGACGAGTCTCATGAACGCTACAAGGGTTATCATGCGGGGTCCATCCGTCGGAGTAGTTAAGCAATGATCTTTGAGATAAACGAGTGTTTGCGCGTGGACGATGAGGCGCAACCGCATACACATTGCAGTATCCGAACGGGAACAGGCAAGTCTGGGCTCTGCTCCTGCTGCTCCTGCTGCTCCTCCTCCTCCTTCTCCTCCTTCTCCTCCTCCTCCTCCTCCTCCTTGTCGTCGTCGTCGACTTCGTCCTCCTTCCCCATCTCCTCCTCCTCCTCCTCCTCCTCCTCCTCCTCCTCCTGAACCTCCTCCTCCTCCTCCTTCTTCTCCTCCCCGTCCTCCATGCGAGCCCCATCGTGATTGGCAGGCGCGCCTCCTCGTGCGCGTCCACCTCCACGTCCCCCCCCCCAACAGCGATCCGCCCGGCGAGGAGAACATGCTCGCGGTGTCCACCGCGCCCTCCACCGTGATGTTCTGCCCCGGCATGTAGTACCGGAGCTCCACCGCGCCGGCAATCTCCTGGGGGGCGACGACGGGGGCGGGGGCGACGGGGGGCGGGGCGGCACTCCTCGGAAGGACGAGCAGCGCTGGAGCTGGCGCTTGCCTCCGCGGGGCAGGTGACGCAATCATACGGTGGGGGCATCGAATAAGGAACCGTTGGATAAGGAAGCCAGGGTCTGGAAGCCGGTGGGGCTCCAATCGTGGACTGGCCATGGATATCACTGCCGCGCTCATCAGTTAAGGAATCCTCCAGGGCCTGACGCCTCTTGGGCACATTCCTTGACCAACGCCCACACCGTCGCGAGTGACAGCACGGGGCGCGAGCTATCGCTCGAAGTCCACCAAGCGCTGCAAGGGGTAACCTCCGCCAAGGCAAGCCAGCATGCACGGAAAAACGCACAACTTGGTGCGCGGGAAAGCGAGGCTTGACACGTGCAGATTGGAGGCGGCCGGGGGTCTGCGCTGGATAGTCTCTGAGAAACTTGGTCAAGAAGAGGTGGATGAAGACAAATCCGCTCAACATAGGTCCCTGGACCCTTCCTGGCGGGGTCCATCTAATGCAGCTTTTCATCCCAGATCCGTTTTTGACAGTCCCAGGGCCCGAAAACTGCCCCTGGAGACAAAAACACAAACAAAACGCTGCTCGAACCCCAAACCCAGAGATCCGATGCCGTGATTTTTTCCATGGGTCCCTGGAAGTCTCGACCCATCCCCCAGGACCGGTTTTTCATCCTTAGTCGTTTTTTGACGGTCCCGGGCCCCGTCGAGGGCCCCCATAGAGGCCAAGAAATGCGAAAAACCTACATCATGATTGTTTCCATGCGTTGGATCTCCTGAGCAGGGACCGACCGTCCCGGCATTCCTATAGTCCTACCACGAAATCTTCTTAGAACCCAAAAACGTTCCAAGAACAAAAATAACATTCTCAGAACAGAAACCGACAGACTCCGCCAGACATGTTCTAAGAACATTTCGTGGACACCACAAAAGGTTCTTAGAACATTGCTTGGTAGGGCGGCAGGCGGGCCAGGACGCTTCGCCACTGCTTGAATCTCTGGGAACCTCGAGCCTCCGGCCCGCCCCCCTGCTGGCCGGAGCCAGGGCCGGGCCACCTCCGGGCCCCCCAGGCCGGCTACGACGGTGCGGGGGCGTGCATGCGGAGAGCAGGGCCGAACCGAAACGGCGTCCTTCGTCTTCGCTTCGCTTTCGTTTCCCCTCGCTCTTGTCTCGAGCCCGCCTCCACCGCAAAACGAGGTCGAGACGAAAACGGCCCACGAAATCACCGGAAACACAGTTTCGGTACAGCCCTGGCGGAGAGAGAGGCGTGCAGACCCCCGAGCGCCGACGGCGCGAAGGAAAATCTGGAGTCCCAGAACGGTGCGGTGACAGACCGCGTGCGGTGACCTCGAAACCACCCAAGAGACCTCACCGCAAGGTCCGTCAGCGGACGGTTTTGGGGCCTCGGAGGCCCCAGTCGCCCGAGACGTACTCGGAGAACGACCCGAGTCCCAGAACCGTGCGGTGACCCCGAATCCCCACCAACTCACCGCACAATGTGGTCACCGCCCCGTTTAGGGGCCCCCGGGAAAAGGAGACGTCGTACAAAATCACGACCGCAGCCCTGGACGCCAGCTTCCTGCGTCATCTCCTGCGGGCCCCAGGAGTACACACCGCCTCCACGTCGACCCCTCTTCCTTCCTCGACCCTCCTCTTCCTCGCCTCTCTCCTGGGAGAGGGATGGGGGTGAGGGAGGTGGTGGTGGTGCGTGCGTGCCTGCGTGTGGGCCCCGAGCTTTTCGAGCCGCAGCGATCTGGGAGGGCCCTGGCGCCCGAAACGGGGCGCAGAGACGCCCGGTGTGAGAGACAAGAGTGCCACTCGTCCGGGCTGGGGCGAGAGGCACGGGGCGAGCCGCCCTGCAGGCGCAAGAGCGAGAGCTCAGCGACATGCGATATGGAGGAGGAATAGGAGGAGGGGGAGGAGGAGGAGGAGGAGGAGGAGGAGGAGGAGGAGGAGGAGGAGGAGGGGGAGGAGGGGGAGGAGGGGGAGGAGGAGGAGGACAAGCTAGGTGCGCTCGCGTCATATCTGACGTCCTACCCCTCCCTCCCATCCCTTACCATGGCGTTGATTTTCTCTATCCGGGGACGCGTGTCGTAGCGGACCTGTGGCTCCGCGCGCGCGTGCGTAGTGGGTGGTGGTGCGCGTGCGTGCGTGCGTGCGTGTGTGCGTGGTTGTTGTGGTGGGTTGTGGGTGGTGGCGGTGGTGGTGGTGGGTGGTGGTGGTGGGTGGTGGTGGCGGTTGTGGTGGTGGTGGTGGTAGTGGTGGTGGTGGTGGTGGTGGTGGTGGTGGTGGTGGTGGTGGTGGTGGTGGTGGTGGTGGTGGTGGTGGTGGTGGTGGTGGTGGTGGTGGTGGTGGTGGTGGTGGTGG